AAAAAAAACGAATCGGTGGGCCCTAGGAACAGTTCCCACGAGGGAACCTGCTCGATACCATGAGAAAACTAGAATGAGAATGGATGGACTATGAAAGAGTTGGGTACAAGTACTAACCGTAATTGGGTTGTACCCCTTATGGGCTACCTTACTACAGCCTAGACAAAATGCATAAGCTATGATGTTCTGACATCTTAGTACCAACCATATGGGTAAGTAACGCGCTTACCCTTGGTACCAACCATTTGGGTAATTAACGCACTTACTCTTGGTACCAACCATATTGGTAACTACCCTGCTTACTCTAAATACCAATCATTTGAGTAGCGACGCACTTTGTTTTGGTACCAACCATATGAATAAGTATCGCACTTACTCTTGGTGCCAACCATATGGGTGAGTAACGCGATTAGACTTAATTCTAATTATATGAAAAAATAATGCACTTACTTTGGTACCAACCATATGTGTAAGTAATGTGCTTATTCTTGGTACCAACCATATAGGTAAGCAACGCATTTACTCCAAGTACCATCCATATGCGTAAGTAACGTACTTACTTTTGGTGTTAATCATGTGTGTAAATAACACAATTTTTGTTGGTACCAGCCTTATGAGTAAGTAATGGGCTTACTCTTGGTACCAACCATATGCATAAGTAACGCGCTTAGTGTAAATACCTATTGTATGGGTAAGTAACGAATTTTTTTTTGGTACCATCCATATGCGTAAGTAACGCACTTACTCTTCGTACCAACCATATGGGAAAATTACGCACTTACTATTAGTACCAACAATATTGATAAGTAACGCAGTTATTCTAAATACCTATCATTTGTGTAACTAACGCACATACTCTTCGTACCAACAATATGGGGGAGTAACACGCTTAGTGTTAATACCAATCAGATAAGTAACTAACGCACTTGCTTTTGGTACCAACCATATGGGTAAGTAACGCACTTACTTTAGGTACCAACCATATGAGTAAGTAGTGCACTTACTCTTCGCACCAACCATTTGAGTAAGTAACACACCCACTCTTGGTACCAACCATATTTGTAAGTAGTGCGCTTTTTCTTAATGCCAATCATATGGGTAAGTAACACATCTACTCTTGGTATCAACCATATGAGTAGGTAATGCGCTTACTCTTGGTACCAACCATCTTGATAACGCACTTTCTTTTGGTACCAACCATATGAGTAGATAAGGCATTTACTCTTTGTACCAACCACATGGGCTCACGCGCTTAGTGTAAATACCAATCATCTAAGTAAGTAACTCACTTCCTCTTGGTACCAACCATATGGTAAAGTGACGCACATACTCTTGGTACCAACCAAATGGGTAAATAATGATCTTACTTTTGGTAACAACTATATGTGTCAAACTCCTATAGGCTGTAGTGGGGTAGACATTATAGGGTACAACACTTCTAGGTTTCCTACTTGTACCCACTTATTTCCTAGTCATTTCATTCCTTGTCCTCTACTTTTAATATGGTTTCAGAGCAGGTTCCCTAGGGGGATTGTTTTTTTTTAGGGCCCACCACAATCTTTTTTTTTCTGCCCTGCCCGAATCGCACTGTCCTGCCTGCCTACCCGCGCCCTCGAGCGCTTGCCTACCCGCGCCCTCAAGCGCCTGCCTACCCGCACCTTCGAGCCCCTGCCTACCCGCGCCCTCGAGCGCCTACCTACCTGCGCCCTTGCGCGCCTGCCTACCCGCTCCCTCGAGCGCCACCCTGCCGCCCTGCCTTGCAGGCAGCGCGCGGGCCTGCCCTGCACGCGTGGAGCCGCCCCAAGACCCCGCGGCGCGGCCCCTGGACCTCGCGATGAGTCGCCCTGCTCGTCGCGACGCCTCTGCGGGACCCGGGGGTCGCCCGTGCCTCGTCGCGACGCCCCTGCGGGACCCGCGCGTCGCCCCCCCCCCCCCCCCCCCCCCCCCCGCCTCGTCGCGACGCCTCTGCGGGACCCGGGCGTCGCCCCTGCCTCGTCGCGACGCCCCTGCAGGACCTGCGCGTCGCCCCTGCCTCGTCGCGACTCCCCTGCGGGACCCGCGAGGTGCGGCTCCTGCGCGTCGCGCCGCCCCAACGGGACCCGGGCGTCGCCCCCGCTCGTCGCGACGCCCCTGTGGGGCCCGCGCGGTATCGCCCCTGCCCGCCGCGGCGCCCTGCCCTACCCCGCGCCCGCCCTTTGGACGGCCGCCCCTGCACCGCCCTGCAGCAGCTGCCGTTGCGGACCTCCCCGCCTTGCAGCAGCTGCCGTCGCGGTCTGCCCCGCCCAGCAGCAGCTGCCGTCGCGGACTGCCCCGCCCTGCAGCAGCTGCCGTCGCGGCCCCGCCCCACCCTGCAGCAGCGGCCTTCGCGGCCCTGCCCCGTCCTGCAGCAGCTGCCGCGGAGCTCCGTGCCGCGGTCGCGGCCCCCCCCTGCCGCTGTAGCGGCCCCGCAGTCGCCGCCGTCATGCGCCTGCCCTTCCAACCATTGGTGAGCACTGCCGTGCCTGCGCTGCTCCCACTACTATTGCTGCTACTGCTGTTACTGCTGCTGCTACTGCTGTTACTGCTGCTTCTACTGCTACTACTGCTCCTGCTGCTACTGCTTCTACTGTTGCTCCTAGCGTGGCCAGATGCAGCTCCAGGGCCGTCCGCGTGTGTCCCTCACGCCCCAGCAGCTTCGTGAGGGGTACGCTAGTTGGGGTTGTCGAGGTGGGAGTAGTGCGAGTCGTCCTGGAGTAGGTAGTTCGGGAGCTTCTTGTAGTGGCCCGGTGCAGCAGCAGCGTCGTCCGCGCGAGACTCGTTCGCCCCAGCAGCTTCGTGAGTGGTACGCTCAGAGTGGAGGGTTGCTGAGTACTGCTCGCTGCCCGTACGTTATTCGCACTGTTGTCCGGACTTGTCGGCCTTGCGGGACGCCTGGTCATACAGAGTCCCGCTGCTTAGCCCGTCTGAACAATGCTTGGCGTACAGAGTTTGGCGACGACGCTGAGCTCCCCGACTGGGCGGAGCTGCTTAGGCAGAGGATAGATATCTTTGCTCTTGACTATGATGCTATTCTCACTGCAATGTATGCATTTTCTACTACTGGCGAGGGAGCCTGTCACCTATGTGTGCCGCTTGACCCCGGTATCCAGTCTGTATGTTGACTTTGTCTTCACATGTTGACCTGACAGTCCATCCGGGCCCTGGTGGCTTCGGACCCACCAGGCCCCCCTTCTGGTGGAACCGGGTTTTCACCAGGGCCGCACGCGGATGCAAGGCCTGTCACGGCCCCCAGCTGGGAATCGCACGCGAGAGGGAGTCCCCCGCCCCCTCCCAGGTCCCTAGCGAGATTCGGGCGGCGGAGCAGGCTGGCGAGGTGGTCCCGCGCCAAGCCCAAGCCACGCCAGCGCCACGCAGCGTGGTCCCAACCCCGGGCCCCCCCCCGGGCCCAGCCCTGGCTCGCGAAACCCCTCGCGAAACCCCTCGCCGAGACGGATCCGGCCAATCGGAGCCGTTTCCGACTGGTCCGTCCCTCGGAGGAACCCTCGCGAAGCATTTCGCATGCGAATCCGCGCGTGCGAATGGCAGTTCGGGCTGGCCGAAACGGATTCGGCCAATGGGAGCCGGTTTACGCCATCTCCGTGCTGCACGAAATGGAGCCGGCCAATCGCCGTCGTTTACAAGCGTTGGAATGCTCGCAGGACCCTCACGAACAATCGTTCGCGGAAAGATAAAATGTACGGAGCGGAGTGTACGCCATTCGAAAGATCAAACGGAAAGATCAAACGAAATAAATCTTAATGTTTACTTTATGAATCTCTCTAATGCATCGGGGAAACATTCAGATGCGAGTTTACGTGTAATATAACGGAGTGTACTGTTAATTCGGTTGACCCAATTTGGTGTACCCGATCGTTGCTCGGACCTCGGCGGTCGCGACGAGGAAAATTATCTCTCCGCGGGAGTTGGCAGCCCGCTCTGAACGGGGCTCGCGGATGGTGTGCAACGTGGCGGACGTTGGATGCACAAGCGTGCATGTTGCGGAACCTCCCCGCTGGGTGAGAGGCCCGCGCAGTGCGACCGCGAGTGCTGTCTCTTGTTTCCATATCGGCCCACTCTTAGGTTCTCGGTACGGGCACCTGGTGCTCATTTTCGTTCTCCGTCTTCACATCTTGTTTTCTTCCTGCTCGCCCGTTCCACGTAGAGGTCCTCGTCGCCTAGTGCTAGCAGAGACTCTGCTTGGCCGCGTTCGCACTTGGTAGCGTCTAGCGTATCTCTTATTTTCTGCCGCAAGCACAGTTTCGCGAACCGTTCGTCCTAGATTCACGCGAGCACTGTATCGCGTACGTTTCGTCCTTTGGTCGCGCTTTTGCGGTCGTACCAGTAATGAGCCGCAAAATGAAGGCGCTTAGAGCTGGCTCGAAGGAGGCCGCCTCCTGTCCGGCCATCATCTCTGTTGCGGGAGCCACGGTGGACCTCCCCCCCGAACAGTGGAGGCTGCTCGCAGAGGATAAGCATCCTCTCACGGCCCGTCTGTTCGACTTTGTCACCGGGTGAGATCCATGCGTTCCATTCCCTGACTCTTATATGCACGCGTTGTTTATGGTCGCGGTGTTTAGGCTGTTCGCGACATGTCAGCGGTAGTTACTAGTAGGCAGTGCAGGCTGCGGCATACCTCCGCTGTGCTTTTGGGTCGCGCTGTTAATGTTTGAGCTTTTCCCCGCCTTGTTTTACACCGTCCCGCACAGCGTGATTGTCCGGAGGTATCTGGAGAAGGAGGTGCATGAGCACGTCCGAATAGTGACGAGCGGTGTTGTCGCGGACATAGTCGCGGGTCGGGATGAAGCGGTCCATGCCTTTGCCGGTTTGATGGAGTGCAGCCTGGTGGTTTTCTGCATCTGGTCCGAGTGAGTTTCCATTGGGAGTGTTCACTTGTACAGGGATTGCACTCGTTTAAGTGGTTTAACGCGGTCGTCAATGGCACGTTCAGGGACCTGGTCGACAAGAAGAGCTCGAACGCAAGCATGCTCATTATGCTACACCCCGACCACTTGTCGCTTGATGGTGACGAGTGGAACACGCGGTTCGTTCGCGTTGCTATTCCCACTGGTGGTGCAGAACACGTCACCGCGGCTGATGCGATTGTGGAGTGAGTACCGCGTACTGGTTTATCATCAGAACACGTTCATTTCCGCTCCGGGGCTCATGTCGCTAACCGTGCGCTCGCGTGGATATGTATGTGCTTTTGGGCAGGTGGTTTCAGGGTCGCGTCGACGAGGATTTTGCGCGCGGCTCCATTCAGTGCACCCGCTCCCGCCAGCTTAAGGATCCCGAGCGTCTGTTGGATCTGGTACGTCTGTGTTGTGTACGTGTTCTCGATGACCGCCAATAGTTGCAGTGGTGCTAACAAACACCATGTAATGTTTTCCAGGACGCGACGTCATTCCGCGGCTCCTGCGGCAACATCGCTTGTCTGTTCGCGTTCGACAAGATCATTGCCCAGTTGGACGCGGTCGCTGCCACTGGATCCGGGCCGCAATTCTCGAGGCCAACCACGAAGACTCTGAATGCTTTGCGGCATGAGGCGTACCAAACCGCCGAAGAGCTCGCGTTCAACTTGAGCGTGGATATGACGCGACCCATGCACGGCGGTGAGGCTGAAGGGGCTGAAACGGGGAAGGTGCAGAAAGTGGCTACGGGTGCGCAGGTTGCTGACCATGGTGTTCTCGCTCTCACAGGTGCCACTGGTGTTTCGAACTGCGGAGGTGCTCGGGGGGGGACGGTGGTCCACGCTGATGACGACGGGGCCGAGGATACCGCGACGAAGGGTGCAACCCGCGATGAGGCTGACCTCGCTGTTGCGCGTGAGGGGGAGGAGTCAAGCGAGGAGGAGGCGGAGGCACATGTGGTAGCGGCCACGGCATCGAGCAGGCCCACTACATCCGGCAAGAGCATCAAGCACCTCGCGCAGCACTTGGCTCACGGTGCTGGAAGCGCGGGCCCGAGTGGTGAGGTCGCGGGCAAGAGTCCCGTGACAGGTCCGCGTGATCACGCGTCCCTGTCCTCGTTGCCATCGCATAAGCTTGCTGCCGAGATCCTGCAGCTCGACTGCAGGCTTGCAGCGCTGGCCGAAGAGAACGCACGGCTGAAGAAACGCTAGGAGTCGGGGGTTGGTGGGGTCGCGGTCGTGGGCTCTCACGAGCTTGCGTCCGCGCTTGCTAATGCGGTTCGGGTGTTGGAGAAGGAGGCGAGGGCAATCGCGCAGGAAAGAGCGGCACTGGTCGATACGCGTAACCAGGAGGCGTTGGTGCTGGGGCGAGTGGATGCGAGGCTGGGACAGCTGCAGGGGGTGGTGATCGACTCCATGGAAGCCGCTCAGAAGAAGCTGACGGACGAGGTTGCGCGGAAGATCGACAACATGTCGACCGCGGTCTCCGCGACAGCAGAGCGGGCAATCACCACCAGCGGGGTCACGAACGCGCTGCACACCCTAATCGCGCTCGTTGGAGGAGCCCCCCCGCCGCGCACGGATAATGAAGGAGCGGCCGCGACGGAGATTGCCGAGCTCGGGGATGCAGAGCATGGAAAGCGGGCAGCGGGTGCGAAGGCGGAGAATCAACGGGGGGCGAAGAGGCAGAGAGGTCCCCAGGCAGCGGCCGCGGTGCGCAATCCGAGCGTGCAGGACATGCTGAAGCAGAAGTGGGGCCCTGCATCGCGAGGTCCAGCACCGCCTGGTCAACCGGGTTCGAGCTCGCGCTCCATCCCACATGGAGAAGCTGCACCCAAACCACCGGGCCCTGCCGGGGCAACCGTGACAGTGACAAGTACTGTGGGTCGGGGCAAGGGTAAGGCGGAGGATGGAGAGGCGCCGGCTGCTGCGGGTTCGCTGGCCTCGAGGCGTGAGGTCCAGTCCGCAGCGGGTGCTGCGGCAGAGGGCAGGCAGACCACGCTCGCACCCGCTCGTGCTGCAATCGCCGCGGGACATCTGCACAGCGCACTGGCATCTGCAGGTCCTATCGCGGCCTCGGTTGAGGGCAAGGCGGAGAAACGCGGACGGGGTGGCAAGAAGTTGCCCACTCCACCCGTGTACACGATCGACGAGGACGATGCGGATGAGGAGCTGGAGGGTCTCGTGAGCAGGTGGGTCGAGGCGGCCGACGGAGGAGAGAAGGGTGGGGAGGCCGCGGTCGATATTTATAGCGGCGGAGAGAGCGCGGACGAGCAAGACGGAGACACCGTGATCGTGGAAGGTGGCACAACGGGAGGACATGGTGACACCGCCCCCAAGCGCAAGGGCTGCGGCATCCGCGCTCCACCCAGGGGCGGGCCCGGATTGGTTTCTGAACCCCATCTGGGGGGGAAGAAGCGATGGCTCGGACACGGCGACCGCGAAGACCTGCAGTACAAGACCGCGATCGCGATGTATCCCTACGACGGGAAGGTCGACCCCGGGCTGAACGTGAGCCAGAAGCAGATCCGAGAATGGGCCGCGGACCTGTCCATCGCCGAGGGGTTACATACGGGCCTCTTAATCACCATGCACTACCGCAACCTTGTGGCAAGCAAGGACATGTGAGCTGTGCCAATCCACCATCATCTAGTGCGTTCATACGGTTTGGTATGTTATCATGTTCTGGCCGCTCCAACCCACTGCGTGGCAGGTGGCACCGCATGTTCGATTCCTATCGCGGGCTTACCAAGCCCGGAATGCACACCACCAACGTGATTGCATGGGCCGCGGTGGTAGGCAAGGAGGCTGCAGCAGAAGAAGCGGATCTCGGCGACGTGGAGCCGACGGACTACGCGGGAGCGATCACATGCGCCATTGCAATGGTGTGGGAGGTCACTCGCGGTTCTAACGTCACGGCCGCGGCGGATAATGGAAACCTGGCCGCGCGTGCAGCTGGTTGCTATGGAGAGCGAAGCCGTCTCTTCCCCGTAGTATCCGCGTACGTCATCAATGCGGTGCGGAAGCGCAATAGCCGTGAGGAAGATGAGCCACAGGTTGTCGCGGACCAGAAGGCGGTCGCCGCCGCGATCGTGTCCGGAGTCGTGAACGAGGTCATTGCAAAGTCTCGCGATCTCAGGCACATTGAGTTGGCCGCCCGCGAAACGGTGGACGTTATCATCACCTGGTGCGACTGCTCGGTGGCAGGGAAGCAGATGGAGTCCTTGGGTTTGTACCTTGCCCTGCCAAAGGATCGTCTGACGAAGCGCACTTGAGTGCGTGTAGTATCGCGTAGCATGTGCACAGCCTGTCCGCCATGCTTGAGTTCTACTCGCGGTGGATTGTGCTGGTGCCTGTAGTAAATCGTGTATGTGTGTGTGTGTGTGTGGGTGTGTGTGTGTGTGTGTGCGTATGCGCGTGAGAACCTACTGTTGACATTTGGAACAATATGTGAAGGTTTGTAGGATTCAGTGGGTGCGTGTTTTTGCGCGTGCCATTTTAGTAGTAATCTGCATTCGTCTCAGGTATTCCCACACATTATCATTGTACACACTACGACGCGAACAATCTATGTACATTAGGCAACAGCAGCCCGCGATTACCACGGCCGCGATGTAAATCAGCACTATCTGAAAGCGAAACAACAACAGCCCGCGATCAACACGGCCGCGATGTAAATCAGCATAATCTTCGTGTAAACAACAACACTCGCGGTCGATTATAGGGACCCATAACATCGCACCCGAAGAGGGTGATATCAAGACGAACAACAGCGGGGTCAATCCATTTACTGCAAGTCTGGCATGAGCGCACAGTACTGGGGCCACGCGACCGTGAACTCAGAAGCGGGAAGAGAGGCATTGATGAGACGGTCGCGAACAAGCATCCATTTCACACGCAACTGCACCTCCACTGGAGAGCCCTTCTTGAGCTGGCTCAGTTCCATGTCAACACTCTTCTTCTTTACCGCGATCCCTTCTGATACACCCGACATGCCCACAGCACCTGACATGAGGTCGAGCTTGTCTAGCACTACCGCGATGTCGTCTCCTTGCTCCACCCTGTGGGCGATGAAGTTCATGATTTGCTTAACACGGTTTATCGCGTTCTGGCCGCCCCCCTCCTCCCCAATGAGCGCGGCCATTCGCGAAACTGCGCCACGGGGTTGGGCAAGAAGCGACTCTGGACTCTCGAGGATCAGCGCGTGCGTTGTCTTGTACAGCTTCCATCCGTCTGACGGTTTGGTGGCGTTGACCCATGGAAGGACGATCGTGTCCCGAATCGTCTCTTCCCTGGTGGGCGCTGCGGGTTTCTTCCGCGTCCCCTGCTCGGTGGGACCTGAGGCATTGGTCGACGCGGCCGCGGCTCCAGGAGTGGTTGCCTGGTTCGGAACCGCGGTCGGCCCTGAGCTGCTCACGGTGAGCCGCGACAGCTGGGCTTCCAAATCATTCACGCGCTCGTCCTTCTTGGCCAGTTTCCGATCGCGATCCTCCAGCAGCCCCTCCAGCTCTTTCACCCGTTTATGAGTCGCGACCAACTCTAGGCCCAGTCTAGTGTTGTCCGCTTGTGAACGAGTCAAGTACTCAGTGAGGACGGTCACTTGGTTCTGCGCGTCCATTCTGGTACTCACCTCCTGCATGGACAGAAAGCGACCGCGAACTTGTTATGGTTTGGCATTGACATCACGGAAGAAAGATAACGCGACCATTCAGTACTTACTGCGGGCTGGGTCAGTGTAGGTGTGTTGCGTTGTACTATGGCGAGTTGATTTGCCAATGAGACATCTGCAGCCCACGACGCAAATTCCTCCGTCTGGCAGTGCGGGTTGTTGACCACGTACGGGTGTCGCGGCTGGTGGATGTAATACATCGCCAGGTCTTGCGCGACCGCCATCCTAGCGTCCCTGTCCAGCTCTTTCAGTATGTTTAGCCCCGCGGTGTCCTGCTTCTCCGGCTTCTGCGTTTCCACCATCCTGCGGTTCTAATCCTTGCACTGTGACAATAAAACAACAAGGCAGTGAACGCTGTGCCAGGGTGGTATGTGAGATGCTTGCGGTCGCGTATGCGCGGACCACGCATACCTGTTGCTGTTCTTTGTCCGTGGCGGCCCATGGGAAAATGTGCTTCCTCAGTAGCTCATCCAGCTTATCATTGACCGGAACAGTTGCGCGACCCAGGAAGTAGTCACCGTCAACCCCGGTGAAGCCCGCCTTCAGCAGCACGGCCTCCCTTGGAATGGTTGTGAGGTAGTGCTTAGTCATCACGTCGATGAAGCGCCAACCCCCCAGCCTTGCCAGCTGATCCGAAGGCATTCCGTCCGCGGACGCGTGCTGCGCCCCCCCAGCCCTGGTCGCGTGAACCGCACGCGAGCATGTGATTCCCGCGTCTCGGAGAATTTTCGCCGCCCAGTCGTGATGAGTCGTGGGCGGTATTTGCTTCTCGTTGCCCGCGCGAAGGGGGAAGAACAGGTATTGATCGTACCACGTGGAGGGTTCCGTGAAGTCGAGAGGGGGGGCTATGTCCTCATAGAGGATGGGAACCAAGTCGTACACCCAGTGCAGCCACAGCAGCGTCGCTCCGACCGCGCACAGCGTCCAATCTATGTGCCTCACAGCAGATATGTAGTTGAGCGAGAAGTCCTTGTTTGTCTTGCCCGTCCTGCACGCGCAAACAAACATGAACGTGTTTCTCACTGGATCGGTCTCCGATTTTGCGCCTAGCTTCCACATCATCATGTCTGGCAGCTGCAGGTTTCTGATCGTGCATCCGCGGGCCAGAGTGTGATGACCGAGCACGGTCATCGTCCGGATGCAGAGGTCGCGATGCATTGCCTGCGTGTATGCTTTCTTGGCTAGTGTGAAGCTGGTCAAGATCGTGTCCATGCTGGTCTTCCGCATCATATGCTTGAACTCGTCCGGGGTGTACGTGTCCGCGGTCGTGCCCCGATGGCGATCCATGTGTTCCCTGCGCATGGATTGGGACGATAGTGCGGGTGTTAGTGGACGCGGGATTGTCAGGCATTAAACGAGTTCACTGAGAACGTATACTTACGCGATAAACCGCTTGTATTGGTCGCGTACTTGAACGCGGACCCAGATGCGACACTCTGGAAAGTCGCGCAGCAGGTTCAGAACGGGCTTCCTGAAGATGGCCCCGTCCAGCTTGATGAGCAGGTTCAAAGCCTTGAGACACCCCATCAGCATTGCCGGGGTGCACTGGCGTCTCTTCTTCAAGGTCTTCTGCGGCCGCTTGAGTGTGGCCATCCTGTCTGCCTGCGCGACTGTCTCGTTCGCGAGGAAGGTCACGTATTTGCGTAAGCGCCACGGATTCGTCTCAGGGCCGTGGAACCACTGCTCGTCGCCCTCCGCCATCTTCCAGTCACCACCCATGTTCTGTTCGAGCGCGGCCCCAATCTCGTCGGGGTTCGCGTTTCTCAGCGCGGCCTCATCACCAAACCTACCCGCGTCCAGTTTAGGCAGCTCGTGAGCCATGAACCGCTTGTACTCGTTGGCCCAACCGCGATACTTCTTCAGCGTGGCCTCCGAGACACCGTAGAGGATTCCGTAGCACATCTCTCGTTTCGCGGCCGGCGTGTCGTCCACACCTAGCCTGTTCCAATCAGCGATAGGGACCTCAATGTCCCTCCGCGTACCTCGCACCCGTTCGTTGTCTTCCGCCTCCTCCTCGTTGAGCGCGGACAGCGAGTTCGATAGGTTGTTTTCGTCATCGTCATTCCAACTATCGTCCGCACCGTCAGCGCCGTCCTCATCATCCTCATCGCTTGTCCCCTCGCTCCCCTCCCGGGAGCCATTGCGTGACGTGTGCGGCACTACATCGACTCTCCGCCTCCTTATACGCGGTCTATTAACTGGCCCGTTACCGGACCCGCCGTTCGCGTTAACACCGCTACCCCTGCCGCCGTTACCTGTCACCCCATGCGCTCCCTGCCCGTTCGCACTATTCTTGTTTGCTCCCACACCTGACGCACGTCCTGCGCTCGCTCTCCCACCCCTTCGTCCCGCACCTCTCCCTCTATCCGCGTTCCCTCTCTCCCCTGTCCCTCCTCCCGCATTCCCTCTCGCACCCGTCCCTCTTCCCCTTACCGCGTTTCCGCTTGCACCCGCTCCACGCCCCGCGTTTCCCGCGTTCGCCTGTGGTTGCCCACCTACACCAGTCGCGTACGCTACAATCGGATGCGTGGGGGTGCGGATGTCGACGTCGGGGTTTCCGGGCAACAGTGAGTTCACGTTCCATATTGGCGGCGAATGTGCACGCACGCTTGCATTCATCCCCGCTCCACCATTCACCGCATGCCCTAAACCACCGGCAACTGCGTTCGATGATGGGCCGTCTGTTCGCGCTCGTGTGTCCAAACCGACAACTAATGCTTCTCTAGGGTCTGGCGGGGCTTGCACCGCTGGCTGGCTTTCCGGATGAATCGCGCTAGGGAATGGTGTTGACGCCGCGACAGGAGGCGTCACGACAGATGCGGGTGCGTGCACCATGGGGTTTGAACGCCGATGTACCCGTACCTGAATCCCACGTTCGAGTACTGCGGCCCTACAAAGCCACGCATAGGCATCCCAAAGAGCTGGCTACTGGGCACGGACGGTGGCGCGTCCGCATTACCCGGTTGATTTTGTAACGCGACCGCCGCTGCCGCAAACGGTATTTGTGGCCGCGGTGCTAGGTGGAGCCCGTTGACCAGTTGCTGTGGGTGAAACGTGGGCGTCCGGGACCCAAAAACCACTGGCTGCCCGTATGGGGTGCTCCATGTGGGGTTGAGCGCGTTCACCCCATGCACGGGAGCGGTAGGTGGTTCGGCACTATGTATTTGATGCGCGGTTGTGTTGCCCGAAGCATTGATGGAGTCGTGAAGTATTGGCGCCGCGACGCGATTCACGGTATGCATGCGGCGTGCGAGATTGCACCTACTCGTATTCAACGCGTGCGTCAACATGATGCGCGGTCAATAGTTGTCCACCCGGGTGTGACTTAGACGCGTCTACCTCGCGACCGATGTGCTCGCGGACATTCGAGCGCGGCACACAACGCGACCGCGATACTGGTGTCTGGTGTATCCCAGTGGGTCGTGAGGGGGTAGAGCTTGGTGTGCAACTGGCGATCGGAAAGTGGAAACTGTGGGCGTCCTCGGCGTAATGACCAGACACTGCGTGGACGTGCTTGACACGTTACCGCGATCGCGCATCGACCAAACGAACACACAGCTGTGTGGCTCGTTCAAATTGCGGCACGTGTCAGCCGGCATGGAGCCTACCAGATCGCGCCAGCTGTAACCGAACCGGATCTCGCTGTGCGCTTAACGAACCTATGCTTGTGCGAATTTTGTTCGCGATAACTTGCGAGAGAGAACAGCCAATAGTAGCACTCCTTTGGTGTCACGAACTCGCGGTTGCATGCGCGGGATGTCCCGCTCGTCAATGTTGCCGACCAATCTTGTTCGTTTTCTGCCGAGTCGCGCATGCATCGGCGCGTAAGAACGAGGTGGGTTCTTTCGGTTTTCTGGGGGCCGCGGAGCTTTCGGTGGCAGCCTGGTGGGTTTCACTCAGCCACGCAGGGCCGCGCTAGGTCCAAACCTGGTGGGATCCTGGGTGGCCGACTTCGCCCCACGCTCCCCGCGATCTCTCCGCGCCCCGTGCATCCCCAAGCGTGGGCGGGGTTTTTCCCGAGCCGCGCCGTATGAACATCCCATTTCATACGGAAACAAAATCTAGTACACATCTAGATGCCCGTGTTATGAGTTGTACTAGACAGAGTGCGCGGAAGACTTAATAAAGAAGACGTGGTTACAGAATGATCACAGAATGAAGAAAGCGAGTATTTATAGGGCGAAAACTAGCTAGGCGAGAACCTCTAGGTGTGCGTGGCTCGGGAATGTCGCGATTGGTGCGGGGCGACTCGGGATTGGCTCGGTGCGAAAGTATAGGCCAAGCCATCCTGACGCGAAGTGCTCGGGCTGTCCTCGCTAGGAGCAGCCTCTACAGTAATGAATTGCATATTCATTACAGCCCGAATGCCTGCAGAACGGTGTTTTTGGCAACCACAAATTTACATTTTGCCGCTTTCTGAGAAATTTATCGTCCTAGCAATCTGGCGATCGCTTGATGTGCGCAAGATGCAACGCCGAGAAGACGCATGATGCGTCGAATTGGGCAATTGAACAGCGCGTCATGCGTGTGGGGAAGGCGTAAGGTGCGTGCTCCTCTGCTTCGAAGAACCTTCTGCACCCTAGAATTCCTCGGAAATTTGAGATTGAGATTTGACATGCCTGAAATTCGAAAACTCATATTTTTGATTTCCCAAACCTCAATCTCCATTTTCCGAACCTCAATTTTTCAATTTCAAATTCCTTATTCCCGAACCTCAGGACGTGTCTCATGTGAAGGGTCCGCTGGATCTGGTCCGCGACCAGAATCTTGTCGAAATATGTTATTCATATTAATATAATTGTCTGTAGTGTTAGTGTAGTTATGTTTCCCGTTTGGTGGTGCACCTCATTACCCTAGTTCTTGCCTATATCTTTGTACCTTTGCTCTTTATTGAACCCCTCTTCCCTCTCGCTACTCTCGACACCCTCACCTAGTTTCCTAGGTTCTAAGCTAATTTTGACATGGTATTAAGAGCTAGTTCGTCCTAAGACCTAATTTCATTTTCCCCATGGGCCCACCACGTATCCCCCCGCTCACGGCGCTCGTCACGCCCCCCGTCGCGACCGTTGTTACGACGGTTGCAACGGTCGCGACCGTCGAAACGATCTCGGCGGCAAGCTGTGCGAGAGCGTTTGCGGCCTCGGTTGTGTCCGCTGCGGATTCGTCGCACCCTCGTCCAGCCCCCTTAAATTTTTCCCCCCCGTCGCGGCTCTGCACGTCGGCAGCGTCGGTCGCTGTGAGGGGGAAGAAGGGGGGAAGGGTGTGGCGGCCAGGCCGCAGTAACCGCCAGCGCCCTGCCCCCGTCGACCGTCCCTCCCTATTCTCCGCCGCATCTGCGGGCTCGTCGCACGCCCTGCCGCGGAAACTGCTGTTGGGGGAGATGGCGGGGGTGGATGGCGGGCAGGATCTGCAGCAGTGCCCGCGCCGCTCCTGCTCTTTGCCGCTGGGCCGTGCGTCCTGCTGTGAGGGGGAGGGTGAAGGCGTGGCGGGAGGGACTCTGCAGCGCTAGCCGCTGCCCACCTCCTCTGCTCTCTCCCTACAGCGCCAGTCGCTGTGGGGGGGGAGGGTGAGGGGATGGTGGGAGCGTGGCTTCAGCACCAGCCGCAGCCGCCTCCTCATTCCTCCTCTCTCCCTTTTGTTCTCTGTTTTCTGCGTTCTCTCGGCTCCTCCTCCTGCAGCCAGGCATCTGCTGCTGCCGCCCGCTGCTACTGTGGCACCTCAAGCTGTCGCCCCTGTCGCCACCTGCCTTGTTTTTTGTTTTCTGCTACTAGGGCCTGCAGGTGCTGCCGTCGAGCCGCTGCTGTCCTGCTGCACGTTGCAGCCACAGAGCCTGCTCCTCATGCGACCTGCCGCCCCTACACTTGCTACTTTTTCTGCTTTGTGTTTCTGCTTTAGCTCAGGGTTGCTACAGCTGAATTTGCTACAACTGCACTGGTTGTCACTGCTCCTGCCTACTGCTGCTACTTCCGCTGCACTCTGCATGGTGTACCCTCTTTAGGGGGCGTTACTACACTCACACCTACAAACAATTATGGGGGTGTGTCGAAATATGTTATTCATATTTATATAATTGTCTGTAGTGTTAGGGTAGTTATGTTTCCCGTTTGGTGGTGCACCTCATTACCCTAGTTCTTGCCTATATCTTTGTACCTTTGCTCTTTATTGAACCCCTCTTCCCTCTCGCTACTCTCGACACCCTCACCTAGTTTCCTAGGTTCTAAGCTAATTTTGACATGGTATTAAGAGCTAGTTCGTCCTAAGACCTAATTTCATTTTCCCCATGGGCCCACCACGTATCCCCCCGCTCACGGCGCTCGTCACGCCCCCCGTCGCGACCGTTGTTACGACGGTTGCAACGGTCGCGACCGTCGAAACGATCTCGGCGGCAAGCTGTGCGAGAGCGTTTGCGGCCTCGGTTGTGTCCGCTGCGGATTCGTCGCACCCTCGTCCAGCCCCCTTAAATTTTTCCCCCCCGTCGCGGCTCTGCACGTCGGCAGCGTCGGTCGCTGTGAGGGGGAAGAAGGGGGGAAGGGTGTGGCGGCCAGGCCGCAGTAACCGCCAGCGCCCTGCCCCCGTCGACCGTCCCTCCCTATTCTCCGCCGCATCTGCGGGCTCGTCGCACGCCCTGCCGCGGAAACTGCTGTTGGGGGAGATGGCGGGGGTGGATGGCGGGCAGGATCTGCAGCAGTGCCCGCGCCGCTCCTGCTCTTTGCCGCTGGGCCGTGCGTCCTGCTGTGAGGGGGAGGGTGAAGGCGTGGCGGGAGGGACTCTGCAGCGCTAGCCGCTGCCCACCTCCACTGCTCTCTCCCTACAGCGCCAGTCGCTGTGGGGGGGGAGGGTGAGGGGATGGTGGGAGCGTGGCTTCAGCACCAGCCGCAGCCGCCTCCTCATTCCTCCTCTCT